TAATATACTGAGACTTATCTCAAACTCAAATAAAAAAGCAACAGATCTGTTTAAAAAAAGCTTTAAACAGGCTTTTGTTAATAAGATCGGTCATATAAAAGTGTATATCGTTCCCTAAATATCTAAAATACCTCAAATTTCGAAGATGACTTTTCAGTCAAGACGCCTGGAAATATACAACTTTTTTCACAACAGAAATAAAGCCGTAATAGAGAATGCATGTATTATTGTTTTGTTTACACAATAACTAAAAGGAGGATGGGAATATGTTAAAAATAGTTTAATTTTTGGGAGTTTTTTTAACTGAAAGTGGACAACTATTAACTCTTAAACAATAATGTTAGTTAGAGAGTTAAACATTCTTTTGGAAATGCCAGTAGTCAACTATTTGAAAATTTTATTATCAATTTGGATAAAAGAACGGGAAGAACAGATGGGCGTACTATTTGAAAATTCGTTGAATACTGAATTACGATTAGGAATAGTGTTCGTTCTATAGTAGTATAGCTGTGAGAATAAAGAAATAAGAAACTAGAGTAGAACAGAAATGTTCGATGAAGAATAGAAAAACGACGAAAATAAATTGCTCGAATCATGGTTCTTAATTTTTTTTCTACCGTTGGTGGTAGAGAAGAAACTTCTGTGACTTGATCCACCCAGCGTGTGGGAGAGTCTTTTTTTTGTTCGGCAAAAGACCATATTTCCTGTTTATCATATCCAGCTTGCTAATTATTTGAACCAGTTCCTCTTGTGAGCAGACTATCATTAGGGTATCGCTCGCATACCTAAGGTTCATGATTCTTTTGCCATCTATCTTTAATCTACCTATATATCCTTGCAATACTTTCCTCATAATATAATCTCCCCTCAATCCGTTACCCTACAAAAGGATATGGTAACGTCATGATGTTTGATTGACTGTGATTGACAATTCAACTCTTTTTTGAGATTTGTGAGATGTTTCCGGAATGTAGAGTCATGTGAATTTCTTAATTTGATCGGACCTAAGTGAAGGAAACATGCCGCTTGATCTTCTGCTTTCGACTCAACTTTCGATGATCAGTCTTTCCATGCTCTCTTTCCTTCTAATGATGTGACCAAAGTACCTCAGAACATTGCTGTTTATTTTTGTGTTTAGTCTGTTATTAATATTTAGTTTTTACGAACTAAATATACATAAACAGTACGATATGTTGTCCATGGAATTCGTAAAATCCTCAGTTTCAGAGGCATATGTTGCAATAGCGAATATCAGTGTACATCCAAAGCGAAGTTTCGTGGTTTTAGTGATGTCGGTTTCTTTCCGGATTTTCGTCAGTTTTGTTGTTGCTGATCTAGCTATTGTTAGTCGTCGTCTTATTTCTTCTTTACACCCACAATTACTTGTTATTATCGATCCTAAGTAGTTGAATTTTCCAATACTTCGTATTCCGTTATGCTTGTGACTTCTGCTTGATTACTTTCGCGTTTGAATCGGTATCAATGACTGTTATTTCAGCATCCCCGTCTTGTCAGACAACTCGGGCTGATACAAACTCGGGAGGTCCAACTCCATCCATCCTATGGATGGATGATGTTGGACCTGGTTTGATGAGGGAGGCCAGGCCAGGCCAAACCTCTCCGTCCATTACGGTCTGTATCCATTCTCCTCCACGATCGACTGCCTAGTAGATTTATGGCGTCCTAATCCACATCATCCTCCCATCGCTTTCTCGGTCTTCCGATAGGTCCCTTAACCTGCATTCTTGCATTCAATAGTTTTTTGGAAACTTGTTTTTTCCCCTTCTAAATTCATGGCCTGTCCATTGAAGATGCTGTAAGTGGACATACTGACATAGGAAGGTCCAACTGTTCCTAGAATATTTCCCACTTCAGTAGTTAGCGTACAGAAGTACCATCTACTTTGATGGCCATGAACGAAAACGATTTAATGATAGCGTTATATATTTGGCTTTTTAACGCATTAGAGTAATAGCAAGCATTTGCTAAAAGCTTTAAGCTCGCCCTGTTGCCAAATTACGACAAATAGCTTATGGATTGTGTCCGATTGCTCTCATTGCTTTATTTCGGCTGTTATGCCGTTTTTGACGGATGATATATTTTAATATCGAAGATAGTCTTACTAGTCTTTAAGTAATTAAAGTCTCTATCTATATCTGACTAGAATCTATTATGATTCACGATTCCATCAGTACCATGTAACAGTTTTTCGCTCAATTGTCTCCATACTTCAGCAATCTTGTGGCATCTGTGATTGTTTCGTCGTTATCCATTATAATTTGCATTTGGGGTTTTAATTCTCTAGAGAAATGCTTAACTTTATTATAAAGTTCTTAGTAAAGTAAAGTGGTTTATTGTCCTTTGAAAGCTCGTTAAGTTCGATTTGCGAATTGGAAATCGAAACATCAAAATAACTTATTTTCAAGTAAAATTGTGGCTTATTCCAATAAAAATAGTAAATCGCTTTAAGTTCTTCGTCTACTCGTTTAATATGCCTCTTTGTCGTGCTTACACGACTTTTGTATTTCATTGTCTAAGATTTTCCTATTTTATGAAGATATTGTTTTTGAGAGCGCTTATTGTCAAATTTTTTATTTGAAATTTCTAGTAAAGGGTTGCATGAAATATAATAAACTAGAGCCCAAGTAATTAAATTCAATCGAATACCCAGATAAAATTAATGTTACGCGGAACAGTACAAATAAAAAGATATCTTCCACGAGTAAATCATATAAGGCTAAGATCGAAAAGGAATGATGTCTTAGGAGTAATATGTTACAGTGGAACTGTAGAAATAATACAGTGTGAACTGTAAGAATAAATAATAGAATAACATATCAACAATAGATGGCTCCAATTCATTTGTGTTAGTATTAAAATTCCAAAACAACTCAATACTTGCAGAATACCGTTTATCTTGATTGTTCTGATAAATCTGTTATGATTGACTTATTCATTGTGTAGTATTTAAGTTTGTGATTATGTCTCTCTAATACATCTAATCACTATTGCAAAGGTGCCCAGGCATTGACCTACAATATTGCATTATTATGCGAAACTATAGCCCCATTAACTGGAATACGTTTCCAAAGTATGTCGTAATGACGAAGCAAGCGATTTATTACAAACTATTTAGCTTTTAAATTATTTTATCGACATTTTTGAAAACATATTTAGTCTTTTATTTAAAGGAAATCATTCCACACATTTCCCCGTTTTTGAAAACGTGCGACAATACAAAATGTTAAGTTATCGAATTGCCCCCAAAATTTTAATGTTTCGAACTTTTTTCAGTAATTTTATTTGAAACCACACCACCGTAATAATTATTAAATTGGGGATCATGTCTGTCTTTCACGTGGCAAACTCTAGTGAGAAGTTTCAGAAATAAATGAAAAATGGTGAGTTCAGGATCGAACAAATGCACATTACTTTTCAAGCGAACATCAACGGAGCAGTTCATCAAAGCGAATATACTGAGATGGGCAATGATCAAGTACCCAGAAAGTTGTTGCTTTATAACCGGATGTTTAATGCTAAGGGAATAAGGTTGATGAGCTGGTGCAGAAAGCGCTAGCAGATGTAGAAAAGACCTACTTCTTAACGTGCCATACCCAATTTTGAGCATACGCAATTCCTCTGCATATATATGTTGTGTAATAGTGTACATACGCTACGAGTATCTAGTTTATCGTCGACCTACACTAGCAATTAGATTCGTGATTCGTCAGGCTTTTGATTCTTGTAGTGAACCAAGCGCATCATTCGACACACTAAGTCTTCGATCTACCTATAACACAATAGGGTCTACGATAAATGGAAATGCAAGACAAGCTGTTACTGCTGATTAGCGAGTCCTATCTGCTAATGAGTTTTTGTTGTACTGACTTTTATTACAGGAAAAAAATCTGAATACGAAAATCATCATCATCATCATCACGGTGCTGCCGCGCTTAGAGGGCCTCGAATTCCTCAACCTTTCTGCGCCATTCTGCTCTATGCCTTGATTGGAATTTCCCGTTAGCAACCCCGATCTTCTCAGCTTCCTGTATTATCCGTCTATCCACTCAGCTTTGATTCCGGGGCTAGGGCTAGATGTCCTGCCTACTGAAGACGGTTTCGCTTGATTATAGTGGCGATATCTTTTCCAACATTGCCGGTCTTGGGACCGGATGAGAAAGGAGAAGGGTGAACGCTAGTGTGATAGGTCTTGGTGATAATTTCCATGCCAAGTAGATGCTGTCAATGAATGCCAAGTAATGTCCAAGTCTACACTTGTAGATGCCACTAGCAAATCCTACCAACGAACTGATGGGTGAAGGAGAGTGTCCAGCGCCTTAAATCTGGACCATCTTGGTTAATGTATGGTAATCCCAACAGAACTGTCCCTGGTCTTCTAGGTTGGGGGTTGGACATGAAGAATATCCGTCAAAAATTTTATATACTAGGTAAAGAAGTGAAAACATTATAATCCACTGTAAAATAGATCCGATTAAATAATGGTACAAAAAAGAAATATGGAATGGAAGAAACATATTGATAACATGGCGCAAAACACAATAGTATCGAGTATATTCCAGTATGCCTAGTATGAATAATGGCGGATAGTAAAATTTTTATTACGTTTACGTGGACGTTCTTGCTTCTTAACCTATACAGATTTTGGCAAGAGAAGATCTGTCAAATAACAAAGTTTTTCTCAAAGATTTGCCTTGTACAGCTGACAAAATTATGTTACTTATGAAAATCCAATAGTGAGGTTACAAAAGTTCGAAACATTAAATATAACACATTTATTAAAAACTTACAAAAAACTATAATTTGACACAAAAATCCGATATAGACACATTAATAACTCCCAAGTTTCTGAAAAAATATCAATAAACATTTAGCAACTGGACTTAAGCTTGACAGTATATGAAAAACTAGAATGATCACCTTTTTCAAAACTACATTTCACAAAATGATTTTTACCCGCCTCGTGTCTTAGAATATCTTACCGTTTTTGGCAAATAAGTGTCCAAATAGTCAGTTATTGGCACCACTGTCTGACAGTTTGCACCCCCACAACATTTGCCGATACCATCAGTGTGTATGCGTGTGTTAAGTTGGTAGTTTTCGTGTGGTATAGAGCTCATACTTCTGGCCGACAGACCCTGTTCAGCATAATGTTGATAGTCTACATCAAATCTGTTTAAGCTGCCATGAAAGCATGTACAAGGGCTGAAGTTTCTAGCGTAATGAGGCAAAGAGGGATCGAAATGTTGAGGTGATGGAATGTGTGTTAATCCAGGAAAGTGGTTACTGATGTTCATACCACCGTGGATGGTATGATAGGTTTCGAATATTGGTTCAGTGTTTTGTCTTTTATATAATTTAGGCATCGAAGCGGAATGTTTTTCCTTCCAGTTGCGTTTTATATACTCACTAGGCGTTTCGTCTTTCTTTTTGGGTCTAGGCAGTGGTATAAGTTTTGGTTTGCTACTTACTGGTTCTTTGACAAAGAAGTTTCTGGCTTCGGCAAACGAATGTGTGTTAGATTTCCGAGTATGAGATTCACCGAAGTCTTTAAAATTTATATCCGGTATACAACTCTCGCTACAAACAGATATGTTTTCTGCAAACTCATCGAAACTTTCGAAAACATCGTCTGTATCAATACTAGTGTTATCATTACTGAAATACCTCTCGTCTGTTAGGTCAGGGACAAGATGCGTTCTGATCAAATACATTGTTAATAACAAGATCATTTATGTCGTTAACGACAAACGTGTGGATATTTGGCATGCTAGTCGACAAATTAGTTTCATCTGGAGGATGAACGACGATCTTAGGAAAATGCCGAAAAGTCTTCGAAGGTTTCCTACCACTAAACATAGTACGATTCTCATTCGTAGGTGTCGGCTCAATCTTTTCTCTAATAGGCATCAAACTTTCTATCTCTTTTTTCAAATCGACATACGATAATGATCTCTTTAAACTTCCAACACCATGCAAGGAATGATCTTTGGAAAATGATATGTGTGAGTGTGTTTTGGTTTTAATGTTATTCAGGTGGTAACTGAAATTAGTGGTGCCAATGTTACGGGAGTGCTTAATGTCGTTGTTGTTACCAACTTCATGCGGCTACAAATACAAAAATAAAAAAAACTAAAAAAACTACTGAAGAAAATGATAGTGCAAATAAAAACCCAACTAAAATTTTTCTACTCTTCCAAAAGCGAGATGGAGATTTTAAACAAACTACTGACCTATACGTGGTCACTATATATTATTTTTTTATCAATTTTTTATTTAAAATTCTCGGAAAAAAAGGAGTGGAACACTTCTTTATATTTGATTACTTTTGTAAGTGGAAATAAGGTATAAACGTGGCATTTAAGTTCCTAATGCTACTTATTTGTTTTATCTATTTTGACAAAGCAATTGATCAGACTTTCTTTATTAAGATTGCGAATGTGTGAAGATGGCAATGGAAAACCATCTTATCATTTATACGAAGGTAAATTCTAGCAGGACTGAAAGCAACAATAACATGGCCATCCGTAACTAGTAATTATTAAATGGGTAAAGAGTGCTAAGAATCTTCGGCTCAATGATAAGAAAGAAGAAAATTTGGAATTTAAGAAGCCAATCAGTAACTAAACCGACAAGACCTACATAAAAACAAAGACAAGAGAGTGTGCATTGGGCCGTCAATGGTATATGAAATACTTGATCTAATATATCAGAAGACAAGTTTTAAAAATAATGATCATGCCCATTGTGCTGTTTCATCTTAAAGTCGTGATGGGACTTAAGTTAAGCAAAGTACTGGCAAGAGAATGAGATAACAGCAACATGTAAGATAAAGGCGTATTGTACTCAAACCTGCATGGCAGCTGCGTGTCAATACCACTGTAACAAACGATCTACTGGAGACATCAGGTCGCACCTCTTTTAAGGTTACTTCTTATACCTATATTGTGAAATCTGTAGGAAGGACCCTTATTTTTTCCATAATCGTGGGACCAGAAGTAACCAAATATGAACCAGATTAATATAACAACAAACCGGGGACTTTAAGGAGTCCAAAATTAACAAAACTATTTCCAAAATGGAAGTCCAGCAGATTAAGAAAGAGGTATTAGTCCCATCAGAACAGAAACCAGTATTAAAGGACGATTTCCGTACTAATGTAAAAGAAAACACTAAGATACTTACGATATACTCAATGTGCTGTTCGATAAGATTGTTGACTTATGGACGGTAATATGGGTTAATACTGAAGAAGAGGCCTTTCACCAAGAGCTTGCAGAAAAAAACTGAGTGGAAAGTTATTAAATCTGAATGGAAGTCACTAAATCAGAGGTCAACAAGATCAAAAAAGAGGATCTGAGAATGGTATTCGCTCGTCTGAGTAAACGAAATAAAAGACTCAGTGTAGAGAGCCAGCAGTCCTGGATACAATTAAACATATTGCACCGAAAGCCCTATTTCCAACTTCATCATCTAGTTGGATGAAGTGACATGGAAATAAATATACGCAAGCTGAAGACACTAATGAACAAAAGACTGCATTAGTCACTTCCATGCTTGAGGCCGAAGCACAATTCATGCAAATAAAGGAAATGTTGCAACTCCTTTTCGTAAGAACATAAGACGAGGTAATGAAAAGGGTTTGAAAAATATAGCAAAATGGAAATATTAGACCTAAAGCACGATTAATTTAATGTACACAAAAAAATATAACAGGCGATTGCTTTAAGCAGAAGTAAAAGCAGCGAAATTCTAACAGACAGTGTTGCTAGATAATTTAAAATGGCCGAAGACTGAAATTAACTCTTTCTAGTGATCAAATAAGCAGAACCATAACATTAATGATAATGATCATTTTGATATCATCAGACATCAAGACGGTTTGAAAATTGTTAAAAATGGAAAACACTTTTACTCAGATATTCATGTAGATTCTTGCAGAAGATCGAGCTCCTTATATATTATTGGATATTTTTAATGGTATTCATAGATCTGTAAAAGCACCCATTAAATGCGTCAATGGTATGCAGTTAGTGTCAGTTCACTATTCTACAGTAGTAGTCTAAGTAAAGATCATTTTGTCAGTTAGAACGATCTAGGAAGGCAGTTAAAAAGAGAAAACGCCAAAAGTAGAGATTAGTAATAATAAATAATAGTATGATTTATCCAAAGTTCAACAATAAGGTGAGTAAAGAGAAGCGAAGAACATGAAAACGTCTAGCCCCTAACATAGTAGTAAAGGCAGACTTAAAAATATGATTCAAAGATAAAGAATTAATGAATTGGAAAGAATCAAATTTTCACGTTTTCCATTTACAAAAGTAGAAAAATATAAAATGTTTCCCCAATTTACAAATTTTGCATTTAATATCAGAATACCCAATGGTAATAAAGAACTGGTAATTTAATAGAAATTTACTAAAGAATACCTTTTTTGGTATAAAGAATGACAAATAAAAGTTTCAAGATTATTAAATTTGGCAATAATGTTACGTGGCCGAGATGCTTAAGGCAAAAAAGCGGAGAAATTCCAACATTAAACGTTTATAGTGTTTTCTCATATCATTATATCAATATAAGAAATATAGCACCTAGTATGTTAGTATTTCAAATGTACATAAAAGCCTTGTTCGTATAAACACGTCTATTACACTGACGTGAATAATACTCTAGCCATACGTAACTGTAGCAAATTGAAAAAGCTGTTATTAGTTGATTTTTTATTATTTTTACAGCTTAGAAATATAACAAATTATTGAGTCTATTAAAACGTACTTTAGTATTTGTTTAAAAATATTCACATAAATAAACTATTTTTGAATAGAATATCGTATATCCTTATTTCTCATTTGACCCTAAAGTGAACATTATTTGTCAATTACGTTAAATAACACTGTTATTGAAGACTATCAGTCAACTGTAATGATTGGGGCTAATATGATAAAAAGTCACGTGTGTTGCAACAAGATATAGAATAAAGACATGTAACATCCTAAAACCGGAAAAAACCTGAATAAATTCATATAACTTACGCTATAAAGCTAGGAATCGCGAATGCCTGTCTTTCTCTCTAAAAGTATTTGTTAAGAACTCAGCAGGTATTTAAGCAAACTTCCCACTTGCCAAGTGTGGTATTGCTACGTAACGCCATCTAATTTAGATGACAGAAAATAGACACCACTGCGTGTATTTGAACTACGTAGAGCTGCTAAAATATTTTGAAATATTTTATCGTCCAGAAACAAATTTCTTCGATTAGTTATATAAAGTGCAGCGTATTATGCTCTAAATTCAGTAATGCGTTTTGTATAAATTATTTTTGAAACCATTTTTTATAAAAGTCGTTCGTTGTAAACCGGTCGTACAACGGATAGTTGGGTTCTTAAGTACATTTTCCCAATGACAGTTATGTTTCATGTTTTATATAAACATTATGCATACTTATGTAGCTCGATTATATATAAACTTATCGGCCCACTTTAAACTTTTGACTTGAATTATATTATTTTCAGAAACTATTAGGTCGGAAACTATTAGGTCGGATCAGAAACGGATCAAAACAAGGGATTATACCGTTGGAAAGATAATTTAATATGCTTTAATATGAGTACATATTTATGGAAATTTATTTCTTTAACAATGTAAAATTATTACATCAAGCAAATTAACTTTTTTTATTGCTAACACAGAAAGGGTATTTGACAATTAAAAATTTAATAATTAATGTTTTAATATTGGGTATGTCTTCCGCTTGCATTAATAGATTAGGCGTAGATCTAATCAAGTTCGCTATTATTTCTTGTGGGATGTTAGGAAGAAACAATAGAAGAGGAAGTTATAGAAGAGGAAGTTACTCCTCTTCTATTGTGACAATAAGCCCTGGGACCGAGCTTGGTATCGAGTGTGTCTAGCTCAAATTCTTTAGATCATCCTATAAATGTTGTGGAACCACCAATGGAAAATTAATCATTGACACCCAAGAGATGAAAGACAAATGGAGAATATATTTGGAGACACTTTTTCAAGATCAAAGAACGGATTATAGGCAAAAGCAGGAAAGCTGTAGGGCCTGATAATATCGAAGCTGAATTTTTAAAACTCTTGGAGGAAGAAGGAATAAATAGGATCACGGCTGTCTTCAATAAAATATACAATACAGGAATCATCCCTGATAAATGGCTAGAATCAGAATTCATAGCGATACCTAAAAAGCAGGGGGCTAAAAAGTGCGAATAATATCGAACAATCAGCCTAATGAGCCACATGTTGAAACTGTTTCTTAGAGTCATTCATGGAAGAATTTATAAGAAGTGCGAGGAACAAATATCGGACAGACAGTTCGGCTTCATTAACGCAGTGGGTACCAGAGAGGCACTTTTCGGAGTACAGGTACTGATTCAAAGATGCAGGGACGTTAACTGCGACGTATACGCGTGCTTGATCGACTATGACAAGGCATTTGACAGAGTTCAACATCAAAAGATGATATAATTTCAGAACTCTACTGGAATCAGACCGCATACATGAAAATTAACGGAGAAGAAACAGATCACATAAAAATACTACGTGGAGTTAGACAGGGATGTATCCTATCGCCGTTGATATTTAATATGTACTCAGAGAAAATTTTTAACGAGGCTCTTTACGGAATAGATGAAGGCATCCTTCTAAATGGTGAAAGTGTAAACAATGTTAGATATGCCGACGACACCATGGTGATAGCAGATAGTTTAGAGGGACTTCAGAGGCTAATGGACAGAATAAACGAGTACAGTCAACAGTACGGACTAAACATTAATACCCACAAAACGAAACAAATGATAATCAGCAAGGAGAATATAAACGGGGCTCATCTATACATTAATGGGACGCAGATAAAGCGAGTAAAACAGTATTACTACCTGGGAACTATTATAAACGAACAGTGGAGCAATGTACAGGAAATAAAATGCCGCGTAGGAAAGACAAGAACGGTCTTTAATAAAATGAGCGCCATCTTCACAACATTCGTCACAACATATCCCTAGATACAAAAATGAGACATTTGAGATGCTATGTTTTCTGTGTTGTTGTACGGGGCGGAGGCATGGACGCTTACAGACACCACTATTAAAAAGAAGCATTTAAGATGTGGCTTTATAGAAGAATGCTGAGAATATCATGGACAGCAAGGATCACGAACAAGGAAGTTCTAGGAAAAATGAAGAAGGAACCAGAGATTGTGTTTACGATCAAACGCATAAAATTGCAATATCTGGGACACGTTATGAGAAATCAGCACCGTTACTCACTGCTGCAGTCTATATTGCAAGGTAAAGTCAAAGGTAAGCGAAGACCCGGTAGAAGGAGAATATCATGGCTGCGGAATTTAAGAACATGGTTTAAGAAAACCTCAACGAAGCTGTTTCGAGCCGCAGCGAGCAGGGTTATGATTGCCAATATGATTTCCAACATCCGAAACGGATAGGAACCAGAAGAAGAAGAATAAATGTTGTATGGAATTGAGGTCTGGACTGTACGCTGGCCATTCCATGACCCGAAAACCGACTTCGGTAATGTAATCTGGCATGATTCTGAGGTATGCGGTCTTGCTTTGTCCTGCATAAAAATAAATTCATCTCCAATGTAGTCAATGAAAGGTACCACATGCAGTGCTAAAATCTCCTTGATGTATCTAGCACCTGTTAAACCTTCGCAGCTCGCTCGTGAAGACGGTTATCCTTACGAATGAAAACAAGGTCGGTTCGTGACCCCATAGAAATTACACCCCAGATCATGCAGGACCACCTCCATAAGGACTAAGCTCTTCCATGCAGCATTCTGCAAATCGCTCTCCTCGTCTTCGCTACACTTCCTTCTTTAGCCGCTACCATAGTGGATTTTCTGGTCTCATCTGAGAACAAAACAGATCCCATTGTTCCATCGTCCAGTTCAACGTAGGCGTTTTAGACGACGAACTGTTGTAAGTTTTTGACCAATCGCAGGTAATCGAGGGGTCAGTAAGGGACCACTTTTAGTAAACACTAAAAACAGCACTGGAATGGGATAGGCATCATAAGTAAAGCTAAAGAAAGTCAAAAACTACTCGAATCGTATTCTACTCCTAAAATAATTCAGAAATGGAATTAACATCAGCATCCTACAAGTATAGGTTCTAACAACAGATAAAACCAATAATGAAATTAAATAATACTACAGGGATGTATCGGACTTAAAAACTTGGAAAAAAAATCCGAAATAATGATGATAATGCAAGACATAAATGCAAATATAGATAAAACTAGAGTTTTATTTAGATTCCGAACGACTAAGTGTGGAGCAGCTGTACAAATTACTACTACGTGGTCTTCCAATACCTAAGAGAGGCGAGTTCGATAAATTTTTTGGTTTTCTATTTGTAGTGAGAATCGAACGCACATCATTCACATTACGAATACACTTACTACCAATGGGTAATCTAATAATTGTTTGATTATCGTGTGTTGGCTATCAAATTGAGTATAGTAATTTTCCTGACGACATCTCGGAAAAGGGATGAAGAGGATCTGTCAAAACATTTCCTAAGATTTCTAAGCCATGACGTTCTTCTTCGACTTAGTGAATTCTTCTTCTCTTCTCCGCCTTCTTTTGTATATTATTGCCTTGTATTATTAAATAAGGTATATTTAATTTTATAACTGTTCTGAACACTTTCGTAACTTTTCCCATCCTCCGCAAAACAACCTCGTTCCGAAGCCTATCTACCCTACTTATTCGTAGAATTCTCACATAGACCAAGATTTCAAAGACTTCCAGTTTTCTGAGAAGTGTATCCGTTAAAGTCCAACCGTCAACCCCATATAAAAGAATAGATAACATCTTACTAATCTAATCTTCAGTTTCAAACTAATATTCTTTCCACATACGATCTTCTCCATCTTAAAAAAATGCAGCTTTGGCCTTCTCTATACGTATTATAATTTATTTGCTCATTTCACAGTTCGGATTTAGATTACAACCAAGATAAGTGATACTGTTGGTTCTTGCCAATTGTTGTAAGCTGTTACCACTCCTGGTTGTATTGGCCTTTTACCGACAACCATCACCTTTGTATTTGTGATGTGTGATACCACATTGAACACTATCCAATGCTTTATTGAAAACGGACTCCGAATACATGTTAAATATTAGTGGGGACAAAATGCATCCCTGTCTTACTCTTCTTCGTATTTGAAACTCTTCAAACGTTTGTAAGTTGATGTCAGTATAGATTTTTATTGATATGTAGGTCTTTATCATCAATACCTACCTGCTGAAGAATGGCTATCATTTCAGTATGTTTTACTCGATCAAAGGCCTTCTTAAAGTAAATAAAACACATATAAACTGGATGGTTGATATCTCTGCATATATGTACCACAACCTGAATACTAAATAGTGCTTCTCTGGTTTAAAGGGTATTAAGTAACCCAAACTGAAACGAACCCAATTTATCCAATCTGCAATTGGTTTGATATTTACCTCTTAACAACCGGATTTTTAAAACAACCATAAAATGGAAGTAAGGATATACGAAACTTTTTATTCATTTTATAATATCGTATCATCTCCATCTCTTTTACTTTTTTTGTCTACTGTGACATTGATATAAGAGAGCGTAACCTAGCGAACCTTAGGGATAAGGAAGTTGTAAGTCACAAAAATCATTGACAACATAAACTAGGGACACACAATGGATTAGTTAATAAAAAATAGTTAATAGAAGTAACATAAAGGTCACACTTACTTTGATATTGGAAACCTGTTCTTCTTCCTCAGAATTTACTTCTTCAGCTGTAATGGAACAAACATATTAATATTTTAATACGAAATGTTGACAGTATACAGGGGATAAAATACATATAAGCCGACCTTTCCGTACTGCGAATAATATATATATTATATATATATATATATATATATAATATATATATATATATATATATATATATATATATATCGGAAAAAGGAGTACGACCGTCAATCCAATATATATATAAGGATCACTCAACTTTGTCTTTTATTTCTCCACCTAGAGACCGATATAAGAAACCCACCACTCGTCTGAGTGATCCTTATATATATATATATATATATATATATATTATATATATATATTATATATATATTATATATATATATACACCGAGGATAGAGATATATGGCGTTGGAGCGCTGGAACAACTTAATGAATAAAATCCACAAGGAAAATAATTTCTGCAGCGGGCTGTATACCACGTATCACAAAAAAGAGGTTAGATCTTTGTAAATGGTTTTTTTTACTTATGATGACAACTGTCGTTTAGGCCGAGTTACACAAATTAATTAGTATATTGGTTTTGTTTTCGCCAGCTGGTAAAAAAATTACACAATAATTTGATCCATCTAATCATCTTTGGATATAGGCATATCCGTCTGCTCTCCATATTTCTATATACAATAGATATGACTACCTAAGTTGTAGTATTCTTCTTTGTCGTTTGCAATTCAATAGTCTCCAATGTATACCTTTTTTGTTTAATCTTTCGCCTTTCTGTCCGAGGGCCCCATATCCAAGGTTATATCGGATATATCCACAACGGCGATAAAGGTACAGAAGATAGTCTCCAGGGTAGTATTCCATTCCTGGTGATGGTAAGGGAACCGAATAATTTCCGGTATAAACAACTCCCTGTTGTTGGTAAACAGCTTCGAGCGGAAGAGGTAATAAAAGTAGGGGCACATGTTTGTCCTGGTGTTATGAAATTGGCCCCGAAGGCGGATGATCCAAGGACCCAGTCCACGGCATAAAGATGTAGAAGGCAAACAGAAACCACTACATTAAAGATTCCTATGGATATCTCTTGTCAATTATTCTGGCTATGACTAACGACAATAAAACATTTAGTGAAATTCCCGTGACACACCAAAGAGAACGAAAACACCGAATATCCATATCTGGAATGTCAATTCCAGACATCTTCTCTAACTTATAGTTGGTATATACAAGACAAGGATGCTTCAACACTTTCTCAAGATGTTCGAAAAAATCAAAGTTATTACAATATTAATGTTAGTCATTAGTTAGCGTGAATAGTGAAGAGAAATGCAACCTTTCAGTTGTTTTCCTTGTTTCCTTAATGACTTTCGGTCATTGTATGCGTCGCTGTATGCGTATAGATGTCGATGTATGCGTCTTTAGGAAGTTATTTCATTATTACTTCCTTTGACGGAAAAGATTTGACTTCACGTTTAGGGCTTCTACTGAGGCACTCTGATGTGAATGAAGTTTAAATTCCCCATGACGCTTTATTCATTGTCTGTTTGCATTGAAAATCGTAGAAAGCATAGATTTGGGTGAGAATCTGAATTTTGGTTTCGAACAAGTAGTAGAAATCTTTGGATTTTTTCTTTTTGTTTTAAGTTGGGAACTCTTTAATATCAATGTTTCTCCTATCCACCTCTACAGGAATATTATTCTAAACCCCTAGGTGGAAAACGGTATAAAAACCGAAAGTTTGAATAAAGAGTTTATTATATAATTTGGGTTTGTTCGTAAAGAGAAATTTAAATTTTTTTTTAATATATTTTTGAGTCGCATCAGCCTATGTGGTTATTTAGCGCCACTCAGTAAAACACTCACGTAAATTTTGAGTTATAATTACTTTTTTCTTTCTTCTTCTAATAAATGGTGTAAATATTTACTGTGAGTCTCATTGAGTAATTGAACATTTGGCCGCAGCGTCCACTCTTTGTCACTTTAAAATGACACTTTATCAATCGCAACAATGTATGAGTTTTTTGTGATGAAATTTTTGGAATAATTATTAAAACAGTTAATGCTGCAGTTTTCTGTTAATAACGGATACTCCTTATATAATTCTACCAACTGCGTTTTTTTTATTCTCTGGAAGCCGTCTGTTCTACACCGGTCTTACTGCAGCAAATTGGCTAACTGGACATTTTACAATTGACAAGTTAATTAAAAAATCAGTTTCCAGAAAGTTCGGCTAAATTGTTAACAAGACTTTTGGAAGAAAATCAACGAATTATTTGAGTTTAAATTTCTGAAAGGCTACTGGTACGTTATATAACAAAAATAAAAGGATTTTACCTCATACAGTAACTTATAATGAAGTATGGATCGGAGAAAAAAAAAGACTGGCTTCATAGCACTTCTTGGCCGCTATAGTGGTCCAAACGACACAGGAACGTTTGATATTAGAAGTGATAAAGACAAGTGCTCTTTATTTTCATGACAGTGTTACATAATCTGCTTGGACGGTTGCAAAGATGTAATTTTTACTTTTTAAATGTATAAATATATGTATAAATTTATTATAATTGTACTTGAATTAACTTAATTAACAGTCATTAATGTTTGTTATGTCCTCAAACAATAAGGCATCAAATAGAGATGCAAGATTTTTATCTCCAAGTACGAGATCGACCTACCAGTATCTGCTAAGTCTTACAATTGAATTAGACACTCATTAACAACACTGTACATCCCAATAGCTACTAGAGAACGTCGTATGAATATATAAGGCAATATGAGAGTTGTGCACAAGGTATTATTAAATAAGCATCCGGATCAACTGAGAACATGACATGGCTTTGCCATTAATTGTAGATTTGTTGATTGACCATAACACACTTATTCACAACACAAAACACACATATACACATGAAAACCGGTACTAAGCTCAATCGGAAAAAACACAAAATAGTCAAATCACAAATGGCTTATTATATGATTAGATTTATACTGCGACTACTGCGCTTTACGATCTTGAGGTGTAACACCCTTGTGCCCTTGGATGGCACAGGGGAAAAGTGTTGATGAAGCGATGCTAACCTATGCGATAATCCAGCAAGCGAACTATGGGTGATTATCGCCTTGAGACGATATGGCAGCACTATGTCGTCCCAACTTGTGAAAATAAAATAATTTGACTATCCTGAGTCAAACTAAAAGTTTGACCTCCATTCAAATTTTCGGGGTTTTGGAACAATATTCCGTTAGAGGGGGATGGGGGAAACATTGATATTGAATGGACCGCAGGAGTGTGACGTCACGACTGTCACATTGTCATTATTACTTTCCAAACAAATGTTGAAATGTCAAATCTCAAGACTTTTTAATTTCTATAAAGTTAACATGTTGCTTCCTCTGCTGCTCTTGTAAGTATAGTGTTTTTTACGATAATACCATCATAATTCAGAGTTCTATTTCTATGAAATATGGTTTAAAAGTTTAAATTAAAAAATTTTAACCTTACTTTATTGATACATGCATTTTATTGCTATTAGCATAAAACAATGTGATTTATTATTTACACGACCTTGTAAAATTGTTGTAGTAACTGTTAGAATACTTAAATATTGCAAAAAGCGGAAAGATTCTATAAAATAAATGAAAAATATCGATATCCGAAATTCGATATTGAAAAATACAAATTATCCACACTAAACAAGGTTTTTTGGAAAGTGAAACTGACAGATGTCAATAAAATCTACGTCATCACTCCTGTGGTCCATAGTTCCCAAATTTTTTGGTTTTCCAAAAGTCATTGACGAAACGAGGAAAACAACTGAAAGTTGCATTTCCCTTCGGTATTCGCTAACTCAAATCATTAATTTTGTTAACTTTGTTTTTTCTGAGCTAACTTTATCATCTTGGGAAGCATTAAAACATACTTGTCTTGTATATACCAACTATAAGTTATAACATGTTCCCAAAATTAGTTATAACGATATTTTGAAAAGCAATAAAAGAGTTACATTACAATAATTTTTATTTCTACGTGTTTACGAATATTTAAAAAAAACAGTTTTAATAAAAAATTATTACTTACTTCCACCTGTAGGCAACGATCTAACTAAAGTGGTTTTCAAAGAATCGAAAGTGGTATTAATAACAGTAGCGAAATCAGCTTCTTTTTTAGCTTCTGAGTCTATAGAAACGGTGCTATCTTTCCTATCGTGCTGCTGGGCATCTTCTGCGTTTTGACTTTTCTCCGGTTCAGTAACGACGCTCACTTGGAACCTCGAAATCCGACGTTCTTTCTGAGGTGGTAACTGTTCAGAGGGTGGGTGCTGAAAAGTTCTCGATATATGTTAATTAAGTCAAAAAAATGTACATATACCCTAAATTAATTTATTAATGAACGGATTTTTAGAGAGAAAGTTAAAATTGTTAAGTTAATGAATCAAATTTTACTAGATACTAGATCGTAGAATTGTAGAAGCAGTATAATAATATTAGTAGAGCTAATATTAATAAGTAAGAGTGTAATAATATTAGTAGAGTTTTAAGTAATATTAATATAATGAAAAATTGACTAATTGAAGGGTCGTTTTTTTCTATAAATATACAATACATCTTGGGTATAAACTTAAGGGGAAGGTAACCAAATAACTTTTATAATTCAGGTACACCAGTGAGGATACTTGAAAAGTAAAATAATAATCATCGCAAACATTTTGTTCACTTAATGCACAAGAATGGAAAAAAGATCCACTTATATTGCATATTAACTTTTATCAACAAGAGTTCTTGTCACCGAACAAATAACAGGAAAATCAGAAGTTCACAGAACACTAATGCACTGGACGCAATATTATAAAACTTTAAGAGAGGCTCTAAAGAGAAAGAAATAAAAAATGCAATAAAAAATATGGGAAGAAGAAAAGATACCGAAAGATTGGAGTGAAGTAGCGATACTATGTTGGCGTGAAAAAATATTTCTTTGAATTTTACCGACTTCCATATAAAAGAATCTTCTATACAATTAACCGAAATGCAATGTGGGCTGAAGTAAAATAGCGATAAACAGATAAATACATAAGGATGCTACACAGCAAGAGTGGACCATGAGGGCGAACTAATACAACACATAAATATTAAAAAAAGGAGTGAGGCAAGGCTGTGTGTTGTCTTCGACACTGTTTATACTCTGGATAACATACAGAAGATAGAATGGCAAGCATTGACAAGCTACAAGATAGAGTTTGCTAAGGATAAAGACGATTGTTCGTTGGATAAACATAAAATAATAAATATAGTCAACCCACTAATTGGTAACTTTAGATTTAAAAGTAAAATTATGTGTGTGGTAAAAAATTAAACAGGCGCAGGCATTGCGTAATATTAGCAGCCTCGCCATCAAAAAACTTTTGAAAAAGCATAAAATGCCCCTTGCTCCAATGGTATATAATATGAATATATATCTCGGATCTCATAGTCCACTGGACAACAGATTGATGGAAGACTGAGCGTTTTGGAAAAAAGTTGTACAGTAAGCCAAGACCAACCCAGGGTTGTAGCACGATAATAATAATGATATAAACATAATAAGTCTTCTGCACTGATATATAACTATATGATGGGTGATCAATTTTTTTCAGCATGTGATTGATGCAAAGTATTTACCAACAAAATCAAAAATGTTCTAAATATTGTTAAATTGTTAAAACATTTCAGTAATTAATAATAGTAATAATTCAAGCAAGAAAGTTAGCAATAAACAAACTAAAGCATGGTATCATTCAATATGGTTTAAAAACATGGTACTACATTGTAGAAACATTCTTCTAATTTATCAATGTATACGATTATATTGCTTCACTCACATTCGTATATTGAGACGCGTATTCGGAGGAAGGAAGACAGAAGACGGGTTAATTGCTTCGTACAAAGAATCTACCATTACCAGGTTCGTCAAGTCGCAAAGGATCAGATGTTTAGGATATATAGAAGGAATGGCAGCGAGCAGAATGCCTAAACTAGGCAACTAATCGGTCCAAGAAGAAGAGGTAGGCCCAGAACGAAGTGGATTAATAAAGTGGAAGAAGATCTTACGCACGTAAGATCGGGGAGGGACTGGAAAAGTAAAACACAAAATAAAGTGAATGAAGAAATATTGTTCATCGGCTCTTCACAGCATTTAATAACTTTGTATATATGTACGTAAATTTGTTTTTTGATTAAAATAATTGTAATTAGTTAATCTTATAATTGTATTTTATAAAAGTGCCCTACGTCTTAACTGCCTGTTGTATGTATCAATAAATAAATAAGCTAACTTGAATATCAATGGAATAAGAGGAAAATAAAAATGAGTAAAACTGTCTTTGGTAAATATAATGTCTTGATTACTTGACTACTTTCTGAGTAAATATCTGTCGCCAACATGCGTTTTGCTTACTTGAGTCAGGTGTAACTGTCGCCTTTTGGCGTTCAAACTGTGGAATTAAATAGGTTATTTTCGTATTGGCTTCATACTAAAGTAATTAAAGATATAAGTGGCACCAATACTGGCAACTGACTAATAAATGAGGCAGCAAAAGTGGTAAGCATAGAGCCTAATGTATGGAAATAAGACCTGGTCACTTAAAGTAAGATCTCTGAATCGCGTGAAAGCTTTCAAAATACGGTATCTCAGAATGTTGCTCAGAACACCAAGTGTGGAACCACGTTATAAATGAAGAAAGAAGAGATAGAACTAATATTCAAAGAGAACTACTAGATTTCGTTAAACAGTGAAAGGTTTCATACTTCGGCCATATTTTAAGAAATAATAAATATAAATTCTTAAAGGTCATCTTAATGGGTAAAATTAAAGATGAAAGATAAGAGATTGGATTCTAAATTACTAATGTTACAAAATATTTTAATTTTAATTATAAGTAACAGATGATTTCGTAGAAAGTTTCGTTGTCACGTCTGCTTTTAGCGATCAATTGTCTATGATATACTGCATCTCAATTTGAACTTAGTTTTTAGCTATCTAATCTTGACACATTTATAAATTTTTTTCAGTTAATCTTACAAAACCTTTGATGGTATTTCAAACGCCTCAAATATTACATATTTTAAGTATTTTACCACAAAACTTATATTTCATAGAACCTATTTTCGACACTTACAACTAAAACGTGTACGATAGAGATATATGAACACTTTAACAACATATACATTTCCTCTGAAAATTTGGAAAAATACACTTTGTACTCAAATATCTACTGGTTCTGCAAATAAGAAGAAAAAGAATAATTGCATCGATTAGAGCTAAGCTTAGTTACTGTTTTTGTGAGTCTTTTAACTAATAAATAGATAAAAATATAGAAAAATGAACTCTTTTTCACTACTAGACCGAAAACTTTATAAGTTTGGTATATATCCAAAATTAGCATCTAACAATTTTTGGAAACTGTTAGACGGCTGTCTAGCATGCGTCCTAATCGTACGAGCGAACATAAGAAAAGAATACCGTTAGGGCGCTGGTCGTAAGTCGTAAGATGCGACCTATGGGATTTCCGCCTGTCTAGCATAGGCCCTCCTTCCGGCTCGAGGAGATAAGAATACGGCCGGGGCCAGAAGACCCTGCCTGTCGTAAGAGGGGACTAATGGGCGGATATGAGAGGTGGATGGCCGTCGTTTGAGGTGTCGGGTTGGTAGAAACGCACAGAGATGCTTAGTCTTCTCAGTCACCGGTCTACATTCGTAGTATCCGAGACGAGCGCCTCGTGGGACCACTCTACTCTCATTTTCCACAAGAGCCGGGTGTGGTAGAACGAACCGGGTACGTATGCACCTCCGGAAGCTGACACCGCGGAAGGGGGAGCGGGAGACTCGGCACGTACCACACCTCGGAATGATTAACGAGTGGTAGAGGAGCGAATCCTCGGCGGCGACCTGTCTACGTGCGAGGTGGTATTCCACCACCTGCGTGCCATTCCGCCTCCGGGGGGGGGGGGGGGTACTCACGGAAGGGTGGCGTGACCCGCAACACAGGTACTACGGGGGAGGTGGAGCCTCACGATGTTTCGGCATCGTGCCACCTCCATTTGGTGTCGGACTCGTAGGGGCAGTGGCGTGCGCTAACGGTTGTATGCCGAAAGGCCAGGTAAACCAGAGTCCTGCCATTTATTTGGAGGGCACAAAGCTTTAGCAATGTCTAGCATAGGAGGTGTCTAAATAGCTCTTGGGAGCGAAAGGACGAACCGAATACTGCTAGGGTGCTGGTCAGAGCCAATTCTAAAACTTGAGCAATGAGATCGAATAAGAGATGGTGAGCCGTTGCTCGAGATGTTGGGATCGCAGCAACGAGCACAGGGTGCCATTTAATTCTTACGCCCCATACGTAGGAACAGTAACGTGGCCGTCATTTGAGGTGTCGGTATGGGGGCTACTAGAAGCGAGAGACCCACTAAGCGAGAATCCATAAGTCGCACTGGTCAACGGATTGCCTTCCTAGTATCCGAGATGAGCTTATGTGGGACCACTTTGCTTTCATTCCACATAACCTCTGGGATCACGGACTGCGGTGAAGGTGGAGCCCCACTATATGGCTTTCGTGCCACCCTTACAGGAGATGTACTCGTAGGGGCATTGATTCTGCCAGAATAGTATAGACTTCGGACTTAGGAAATTGCAATACCCTTTATACACGTACTCAACGTCCGGGGTCCACGGCCTTCACCACTCGGGGTAGGGGGTTTGTTATTCATTTGTGTTGACACAGATTGCTTGATGGGTAAACGCTCCAGGTTTTATTGGGTTTCCTGAGCTTCGAATCCCGCCCGTTGCGCATATGTGTCTTACAATCGCGGGATGCGTGCGTCAGGGCTGCGTCTAGGCCAGAAGATTCAGTAGTAGTGCTCCGGGAAATGCAATCCAAGTAGCGATGCTGCCTTCCGGCAATTCGAGACATTGGAACATTGTTGACGGATTGTGGTGAGCTCCCTCAGACTCTCCTGGTGCGGTTGTAACTATGACTCTCTTAAGGTAGAATCTCTACTATTCGTAGAGATATACAAAAATAAATCATTTGAGAAAACAGTACCAGAAAGAAAACCAAAGAAATTAAAACAATCAGTATAAAACAAATATTCAATAATTGTTTGTTATTAAAAGAAGGCAATTTGTATCTCTTATACAATTTGTAATTGATTGGTGTAATTATTTGCAGAAAAAATTGTCCAGATTCTATTTCTCGCGTTCGATGTAAACATCCCTTCCCAAAAGGTCGCTTGTTACTGTTGGAATTTTGATCATTGTTAATGTCATTAATTGTGTCTCAATAATGAACTTG